TCTCTCTTAGAGTCTGCGTCTGCAGTGGATGTGAGCCAGAAGAAGGGTATGCCCTGCCTCTTTGGGGCTTGGTTCCTAATACTTTTTGTATCATGAGCATCTTGCTGAGGGAAGATTCAAGTGTTTTAAGATTATAATATTTATAAGAGCCAAACCATCTGGCTCATCAGGTGCTCAACAAAATTACAAAATTAACTGTGTTAGAGTAATTAAGAAAAGGATATCATTCTCTGTGGTGGCACATAAATATGGCCACAGGCAATCTAGTATACAGGCCACCAAGAAATGAGAGAGAAAAATTTGTGCTAGGCTTTGTAGGTGATTTTAAAAAATTTTCCTAGATATTTTTTGCTATGTCCTTCTCCTTAGTTTTGACTTCTCCATAAGTGTAGCTCTGTTTCATTACCTAAGCCAGTTGTTAATTTTTTTGTCTAGATTTGGGGGACACTAGCATAAGAATCACTAGTTGTGTGCACGCATATGTATGTTTGTTTAAATCATTCTGTTTTACCAGCAAAATTCCTGAAATAAAGGTTCATTAGTCATAAATCTTACTCTTTCCTAAAGGTGTTACGCATGCATTTCTGCATCATTCAATTTACATTTTATTTACTTTATGTGCTTTACAAATGTATTCTTCAGATTCTCTCAACAATGAGCATAGTGAAGAAATGATTCTGCATTTAGTAATTTGGGGTGATCTCTGGGATTTTAATAGTCCACATATCTTTTTCCAGAGTGAATGTAAAGTAGCAAAATTCCGTGAATATGAAGAAAAACTCATTGTTTCTGCTTGGTATAATAAGGTGAGTTGAAATTCAGCTAATGATAAGATGTTTAGAACAGTGTTGATCAAACTTTGTTGACCAGGTGTAACAGAAGGAAATATATTTTATACCATAAACCACGACATAGCAAGTTTATATATATGACCAAAACAAAAGTTACCCTGTGTGTGTTACACCCAGTATTTTCTGTCATATTCTGTTTTTTTCAGACATTGGTCGTAATCCATTAAATCGATTTTGTGACTCATCAGCCTTAAGTTGATATACATGAAGTGTAGGCATAACAATTCATAAATATTTAAAAATTGCCTTATTTTAGCTTTAAGAAACATTTAATTTGTTCCCATAAAGGGTTTCTGGAGAAATGTGAATATCTGTGTAATGTGAAATTAAATGCTTCTAGTACTCGGTATTTAACATGCTTTAAAGCCTCTCGGTGTGTCTTTTACTGTATATGTGTGTGTTTTTTAATCCAGGGAATACTCATCATTAGTTGTCTCTGTCCTACCAAGGATAAAATAGCATAAAGTAATTTGAAATGTGTTTTATTTTGTCATTGTTAGTATCAGTGGGATGTTTTTAAGAGTAGCTTTTCATGATGTATATGGTTCTGTTGGGTTATTCTAATCAGCTAGAATAGGTAAAATAAGTTGGCCATGATCTACTGTTATCTATTCTTATTTAATACAAGGGAATAGCACTTTATAAGCTTCCCACATGTGGACGCGGCTTCACCACACAGCACTAGTCATTCTTCCTCAAACATGCCTTGTGCTTTCATGCCACCATACTTTTCATCTGCGCTCTTTCCTTCCTTTCACTATTTGGTAA